GTCAGCAGCAGGAGACAAAGCACAGGGTGATCAGGGCTGGGATGGAGCTCAGGAGGGCTTTGGTCCATCCTCCTGCTCACAGCAGGGTGAATACCAAGTTCAGGCCATCTTGCACGGGGATTTGTGCAGCTGATGCTTGAAAATCTCTGGAGAGAGACCCCACCACCTCTCTGAGCCCCGGTCCGGTGCCCAGCTGTCTCCAGGGGGACTTTTTTGTTTTATCCAGCCAGAACTGGTCTCTGTTCATTCTCATGGAGTCCCCTCCTCCCAGCAACCCCTCCGTAAGAGCCTGGCTCCATCCTCTTCTCCAGTACCTGCCAGGGCGATGAAGCCCATCTCCTCTTTGGCCAGTTCTTCCCAGCCCCTGGCCACGTCACTGGCCTCTGCTGTGTCCCCTCTACGTTACCGACATTTTTCATGTGTGTGTGTGGGGGGGGGGATGGTGGTGATAACGAGAGATGGTCTAGCAAGTGCCGAGAAAAAAGGGAACAGTCACCTCCCGTCCCCAGCGGCCACCCTTCTGCACGGCGAGCCCGGCGCAGCAGCCCTCCTGGCCGTGTTAGTCCGGCTCGGCACGCTCTCCTCAAGGGCTCCTCGGAGCTCTAGGCAGCCAGCCATGGCCACATGTGCCAGCGGCCACCACAAGGATCTTTTGCTCCTTCTCAGGTGCAGGATCTGGCATTTGTCCTTTCCCAAGGTCCCTGTCCCTGGAGCGACCCTGTCCTCAAGCTCATCTCCTCCCTGCACTGTGAGATTTCCACCCACCCGAGTGCATCCCCTCTCTGCCCCTCGTTCATCGGTACACGGACCCTGCCTTTGAAGACCACCTTCCAGTTTGGTGGGCTTTGTGCAGCTCCCCCTCCCCCAGCACGTCCCCCGGCCCTGACCGGCAGCGGCAGCGGCAGGGCCGAGCAGAGCAGGGCAACGCCGGGCAGCACATCCAGGGCAGCACACCCAGGGCATCAAACAGCAGCCCCACCGCGGGGCCGCCCCACCCCACCAAAGGCGTCTGCCAGGCCCGGGGCAACGCTGCCCTGCCCACAGCACACACCCACACAGAACGCCGCCGCGCTGGGAGCTGGCTGAAGGTGAGGGGCAGGGCAACGGAAGCAGTAAAAACGGACACAGCAGAAACCGCTTCCTACGGACCGTGTTCAGTGTGTGCAGATAGAAATACATAAATACACGCCTACGCAAATGCATATGCACGGGTCTGTAACCATAGAGGAATAAATGTTTTGTGGAAACAAACATCCCACTACCCCCTGAAGTAGGAGAAACGTGAGCTCCGGGGTTTTGGAGAGCAGGGCTCCCGGGGTGCAGGGGGAGGCAGCGTTCCCGCACCAACATCTGGCGTTTGCCATGCAGACGGCGCAGAGCATCCCACCCCTGACACGAGGACCGGGGATGTCAGCCTCGCTCCCCGGCTAGCACCTGGTGCACAAATCGGTAATTTCTGTCATTAGAAGTGACAATTTACATTTAATTGCAATTTATATTTAATCGGCCTTCTGATATACATAAATATATGTTTTAAATTCTGTAAGAAAAGAAAAAAGGTAAAAGTATCTCTTTGTGCACAAAGCAAGAGGCCATCTGAAAGACGGGCTCCGCAGCTCCTCGCTGTGAGCCGCCCAGAACAAAGAGCCTGACCTACTTCTGCGGCAGCACACGCAGACCAGCCACCGCTGATGGCAGCGTCCTTATCCAGATAAACGGATGTCAGGCTACGGCATTTCAGACAGTCTTCAAAGCATTTAACGCAGCGTTTCTGTCTGCCACGTTTTGCTGCTGAGCAGCTCTATTTGCGGTCAGCGCTGTCTTCTGGGTCCCCTCCCTCTGTTCACTGCACATATCCCCAGGGTGGAGGGTGGCCTTTCTGTTTTCCTCTTGCTTTGCAAGAACAGCTGCATCAGTGGATTTGTTTGTGGTTAAACAAATTCCTTTCTAAAGCTCCATATAAGGAGCTTGCAGGCCTAGAGCTCTGAATAATCCCTTCAATCTTCCTGTTTGGAATGATGCTGTTGTTGCTGCTAATAATAATACAACTGAAATTGCAGGACAATAACATTTATTTAGAGCACGAGGGATTCCACATTATACAAACCCTAGAATTTTTTTTTTTTTGTTTCACTGGTCCATTTCTACAACAAATACATCAGATCTACTATATAATAAAATTATTTACATTTCCAAACAAGATCAGGTTTGTTTATAAACCCTCTTACTGCTATTCACATACAGTACTTAAACAACAGCACAATACATTATTTTAATACCTAAAAATGACAACCCTGTATTCTAATTTATTTATGAAAAGTGGAAACAAATAAATTTACAATTGTCTTCCCCTCCCCTTCCATTTCATACAAACACATTAACCTAATGTGCTAACCCTGGACTTCACGTAAATCCAGGGGGTTTGAGCAGAAACCAGTTTTTATATCTATTTATCTGTTTTTTTAGAAAAAAAATCATTTATTGGGAACAGTATAATATTAAAATGACTTACTGTACAGAATTTTATTTAAAAAAGAAAAATGACAGCTCAAAACTGCTATTGGTAAATTCACACTCATTTACAAGTCTCATGTTTCCATGCAGTAATTTACTTGGATTTTCTTCTTTTTGACTGCATTGCACTGGCACTCGTTTCTGAAATTAAGAGAAGAAAACAAGCATGGATACGGAGTCGGTAAGCCATTCACCAGAGGTGCACAGATTGCCCTTTTATTTTTCCAATATCACACCTGAGCGGAAACCTCTGCAGAGCAGGATTTCCCCAGAGCTGGGACTGACTCTTCCCGAGCTGGAACACCAACGGATCCTGTGCCCTGGGGACCGCTGCCAGCAGCGATCCCACAGAGTTCCCCCTGGCTGCTCTTAGGACACTATTTCCGCATGTTGTGAGCTTAGCATTTATGAAGTCCTAATACAACAGCCTTAAAAATAAAAGTCATGTATTTTTAACTGTTTGTTTCGTTCCCCAAGTGCCACAGCACGCTGAGCCGTGCCCCAGAGAGAAGCCTCCAGCAGCACAGCGCTGCATGGACAGTGTTCATCAGACCCGAGCATCAGGGAGACGGTGTTATAAAAAATCCTTAGGGAGGTATTCTCGAGCCTGTCACGCAAGTTAAGAATCTAGCCAAGTCCTCGGGAAGTCGGGTCACTAGAAAACAAATCTCTTCAGTGTACATTAGGATTCACAGAAAAACAGCTTATGCAGAAAGATCCAAAATCCTGCCGAGCACTGCAGCAGAACAACCAGAAGCACTGGCAGAAGCCACAGTGAAAGCAGGTGACATTTTCAGTGCACTTACCAAGGCACTAAGTTTCCATTGCAAAACAAAAAAAGAAAAGGGTAAGGACCAAGGGTATTTGGATCTTTAGATTTTTTTAAAATGTGATTTTAAATGTTGGCAATGCATCTTTGGCTCTTTACAATATTTTCCAAAAGCTATTAGACTGGTGTGTATTTTAAGAATCAAAAGGGAAAACATTTCTAAGACATCTAAAACCGGAAAAGCAACGGTACAACTCTGTGGCTGTTAAATGCTGTATTAAAATCCAACATTTCAAAATTTAACAAACTCAAAGCTACAGTAAATGCTGAAACAGCCCTTGCTGGAAAGGTCCTCGAAAAAGTGCAAACACCAAGACAGCACCGGTTTTCAGCAGTGAAACACCGTAACAGGCACACCTTCCAGTCCCCAGAGCTCCCCCCAAGCACCAGCGCCGCTTTCCAGCAGCCGGGGAGCAGCAGCGTTAGCCGGAGCCATCCCCGCTGCTGCTGCCCTCTCCGTGTTTGGGAGAACAAGGGGGCTGGCGCTCAGCAGTGGTCAGTACCTGTCCCAGTCCCCATCGCTGTGTGCTGAGCATCACCAGCATCATCTCCCTCGCCTGCTCCTACCCCAAACCCCGCAGCATGCCGTGAGCACATGGACGAGGGCTGACTTTCCGTGTGTCCTCTTCTCTCACAGTTATCCTTCTGCCTCCTCCCTCCTGGTGCTTAGCAAGGGAATTCCTACACAAACTGCTGAAAGTCTACTTCTCTCTCTCTCCCTGCTAAATTGACATTTTTCCTAAGTGCCATTTTTATAACGACCTTAATCAGCCTCCATCTCAAAAGGTACCTTTTTTCCCAGCCCCGCATTCTCTCCAACGTGGCCCAGCGAGTTTCCCAGGGCACAGATAGTGCAGCCGTATGGGTCTGGGAGGAGGCCAGAGGCAGACAAAAAATAAATGTGCTTTCTTAAGCTACGGTTCACTAATAAAAATGTAGAACAGAGTAGGCACAAGTGGCAAACCTCATTACACTTCTTCAGCCACCTCGCTAATCCTCCAGCCTGGCCTCTTCCGCAGCAGAGTCTTGTTTTGCTGGGTTTCTCTACAGCTGGGAAGCAGGCAGTTGCTTGCGTGGGGATAAGGGAACCAAAGCCCCGGGTACTAGAGGGTAAGCTGGACCTACATTTTCAAGCAAAACCCTTACATACTGCGGCAGTTTCAGACACATATTTTAAAAACAATAATTTTACTTACAGAGGTAAAACAAATGATACAGTCAGTACAAATTCCCTAGGTGAGGTCTGGTAGTATTTAAATTTGATGTACTTTCACGTTCCCACATTTTCAGAACTTGACGTGCCACTGGTTGTCATCTTTAGGTTTGTTCATTACAGTACGTGGGGCAAGTCAGAACGTTTCGGATCCCCTCAAACTCAGGGAGGTATCACCGAATGGATCTCACATTGGCTTCACATTTTTCAAACTTTTTTTCACAACCATGAAATAGAATTTATTTTTACAACACAGACTTAGATTCTTCTGCACAATCCTGCTACAAGAAGTAAATTTAATTAAATTCAGCAGCCACAAAAGTGCAGAACATATAGGTCCCTTTGTGTAACAATCTTCAAGTCACTGCACAATTACGTACAGCTTGAGGTCTCCTCTGAAACTCTCACAGTGCAAATATTCTTACCATCAAACTTTCAGATCTTCACTATGGAAAATGGTTGCTGAATTCAACTTGACTTCCTTTTATAATAATTTCATATCAATATCTCTTTGTTCTGTATGTTAGCTTTAAAATATCAGTTGAATGTTGCCTCTTGATGGTGTGTCTCTACCCTCTCGCCCAACTTTCATCCATCAGAATTTTCCTGACCCTTATGCACACAGAGCTGACCCCGTCGCTGCAGAAATGCAGAACGGCACTGCGGACCGTGCGCTCCGGTCACGGCCGGGGGTATCACACAAATGCTGCACGCTTTGTTAAAGCTTGTAAGCTGGGTGGAAATAAGGCACATCAGCAACTGCTAATGCCACGGGTTAGGATCTGTAACTTTAGGATTTCACGTGTTCTCGGAAAGAACAGCTGAGGCTCTGTGCTAGCACACAGCACTCCCCGATGCTCCAGGCTGCTGGCCAGGCAGCGTTCTGAGCGTGCCTGAACCGCAGCATCTGGCTTCGCAAGAGCTGACCGTGCACTTGGGAAGACTTAAGCATTTGTCGTGTGTCCTTCAGGCTTCAGAAAAAAAAAAAAAAAAAAGTCACTTTTTTACTTGAGTACAGTCCTTTTAATGGCAACACATTTCTGCCAAGAGAATTCAAGTCCAACTGGGCAAGCTCGCTGAACACTACGTTGATGAGTACTGCAGAGAACAAGTTCCACAAATTCAACAATGGGAAATGCACACAAGATTTACTGCCAGTACAGATGTCAGTACACACTTCAACACCAACCTGTGTCTGAATCATTGAAACTAGAGTTAAAAGCACACATTTACAAGCTGTAAACCATCGTTACGAGGCAGTTATTGAAAGGGTTATGACTTGGGGCAGTACGTTACTCCCTGCCCTCTCCAGAGAAATGATGGCTGTGCATTTTACCTTTTGCAGTGCTGGATGCAGACGCTGGTCTGGAGGTTCTCTTGCGCTGCCCATTCTCTACAGTTTCCTGTGAAGCGGCAGAATCCTCTGTTCTTGAATTTCTTCTATTTGGAGTTTTAGACTTTTCACAATTCTCTTTTGTCTCATTACTAATAAAGTGGGACAAAATATTTCTGATGAAGTGTAAGAAGAATTATGTTTTTCTATGCAACTCAGACAAGCTGGAGGATGGACCGACACAGGTACCAGTTCCGGACTATTAGCACTGAAGATATGAAATGCTAGAGATACCAGAAGTTTTATCAGATGAAGAATGACCTGAGTAAGCCAGAGTATAGTCCATTTCTATTAAAAATTATCAGAGGATACAGAATTGAGAAGTCCTCAAAGAGAATATTTTCAACATTAGAAGACCAAGAAATTAGATGCATTATAAATTGTCTGCTCTGTTTTCCACAGGCGCCACCATTACTGAAGTCTAGGAAAAGCAAACAAGTTACATTAGAGACTGCTGCGATACGGGAATACAGAGATGAAATTGCAGGTGAACATAAGGAGGAATTATCAACTCCTCAGTGAGTATACCAGCTTTTGTTTTTACTAAAAAGACTCATTCCATTGACCCACGTGATTTTTTCACATAATAAAAAGCTTAAGGTTTATCTAAAACTTCCTTCAAGCTTTAAAGCTTGAGTGAAAATCTTTTTTTATACCAGAAAGCTTTTGCTGCTATTAAAAAAAATAATTTTAGGTAGTGTGGAAATCTATGTTTCTTGTTGCTGAGACAATAAATGGAGTGCTACATTTTGTAATTAAACTCTTATTTTATAACTCTTGATCCTGTAAACTCATCCTGAGGTTTGGATGTTTTCTCCTTAATGCATCACTGACAGACAATTTCTGATGACTAAGTGGTTTCTGAAGATTAAGCTACACTTATCTCCTGTGAATTCAAAAGTACGTAATTAATCAAAGAAATTATTCTGCTGATAATGGCAAAGGAGGAGGAAACCCATTTCATGCCCTTTGGGTGATACCTGCAAGGTTTCAAGACAGGCTGCCTTAACCAGAGCCCTGACTGCAAACACAGAGCAGACCTGTGCGTTACAGAGGTTCCACTGCAGGGGCAGGGTTTCAGAGAAGTCCTGCCGGGAGAGGAAAAACTACCACAAATACTTGTAGTTTTAAGTAACAGAGATCCAAAATAAAACACAGTTTGTCAATGAAAGGAGAGACAAACATTGTCGAGCGAGGAAACACAGAGCAGAGGAGAATATGGAAGCACGTGGATTGTCTCGGATACAAAATAAACACTGAAATCTATTTCCCTGTAAGTGAGTATTATGGGCAATCTCGAAACCGAATCCCCCAACTGGTCACAAACTGGTCTGCGGCTGAGGAACCCGGGCAGCTGAAACAACAGCCGCCTACTTCAGAGGATACCTGGAGGTAAGCAAACAGGCATCATCAGCTGAAATTCAGTCCTTACAGGGCATTTTTACAGGTTCCAGTGGCTAAGCCATAGTTTGGATTGTCTCATATGAACCAACACATCACTTCTCTCCTTTTATAGGAGGAAATCAAAGTTGGCCCAAGTCAAAATATTTCTAGTGCTTCGTAGGTTGCAAGGTTCCTCTAAGGTTTGTACCGTATGGTGCTCAACTTCAGGAGCTCAAAGCTGACCTCTGTGAGTATCAGCCATCGCTAGATTCACAGATTGCCCGAAAACTCTTCCTTCTTTTCCAGTCTTGCTCAGAAAAGCATCAGTCCAGAAAAATCCAAACAGAAATGCACGTGAGGTAATTTGATGAGCCAGATGAGTTTGGAGAACGGTCACACAAGGACATTTCATTTGGAGAATCTGCTCATCTGCCAAGTCTTGCACCTTCAGCTTTTCTGAAAAATTCTACCCTAAAAAACCTTGTGAAATTTCTGTTCATCTTTGATACAAGTAGAAGGATTCCAATCCATGCAAAGATAAATCTAGTTCACTATTCAATTCGGAGTCACTGCTGACCTGAGAAAGCCTGTTGTGTTACCTCCCTTACACAAGCAGACACTGCCTGATTTCCCGATGAACCGACTCTGAGGGAGCTGCGCCTCCTGCCCGGGCTCAGGGGATCGCTCCACTGCCGAGGGCAGCACCAAAAACCCGGCCGGTTCTGCCAGGACAGTCATCCAGAAACCTTACGAAGGTCTGCCACTACAGCTGCCTCAACTGAGTTTAAGAGCCTGGTGGGTTTATAATCTAACAGAAATAGATCTTGAAAACCATATTTTTTTCTGACAGAACACAACCATTTGAAATCTGATCTTTTAATAACTGAATTGGGACAAGATGAAGCTTCTGCCTGGCTTTCTGATCACATTTCAGCAAAGTGTCAACAAGCAAACACAGAGGAAATCTGGAGAAGACAGTCATGAAGGCGCAAGACTGAACTTTAGAAAGACCTACTTTCAGAAAACAAAAATTCACATTAACAGCTAAGCTGCAGGCTTTAGTTTTTTGATTTGTTTTCAGAAAATACTGAACATCAAGAGCCTTCCAGGACATGAAACATTCAGGCCTGACGGGATAAGAGGAAACACTGCCCCAAGCATGAAGACAGACTTGAGAAAGTTACCTTCCATTCTGCATTTCAGCAATTTTTTGAAACATTCAACTAGCCCAATTTCTTAGCAGGACAGAAAGGGTATGGAGAAGAAAATGAGAAGCAGTAGCAGAAGCTGTGCAACTGAAGCAAAGAGAAAGGGACTTCCTCCCATGAAGGCTACATCTATCTACACAAACTGTCTCCTTACCTTTGAACAGCAACTACTGGAGCATTTGTTTCAAGTTCTACAAAAGAAAAAGATAATTTTTCAGTTGGCTGTAGAAGTACATACGTGCTGACAAGGCATGACTATCCCACATTTTTCTCACTCCATATTAGATCTGAAGAATAAAATTCCCTCATCTATTGTGACTCTCGAAGCAAAGCTAGCGAACATGTCAAACCTAGTCCCCCATCAGCCAACTGCTCTTTCTGATTATTGCCTGCACCAGCTAAGAAAGAGAAAAGCCAGAGGGAACCATGCAGAAGAACACTGTAGTGAAACCTCCCGACAAGGGCCGCAGTCCTTGCCTTTTTTTAACTTCCATTTTAGACTGCTTATGACTTCTAAAACTTTTCTGTTTTTTTCAGTTTTAAACCTTAAAAATACTAATCTGGATCTATTATGCATGTAAAATTTTGCCTTAACCCAACCGCCTCTCACAGCGCTATCTTCTAATGCAAAGGAATACATTTTTCTGAAGCCCAATTATGCTTCTACTGAATCGGAGAAAATCTCACAGGAGATGATGTAAAGAGAAGTCTGCCCTCTCTTCTCCCTCTCTCTCACAGGTCAGGTTTCCTTTTGAGTCCACACCACAATAAACAGCTCTTTTTCATCATATAACATTTCTAATCTTTTTACTGTCCATCTTTTAATTCTCCTTATGTCCACCAAATCTATATCTAAACACAGCACCTCTCAAGAGAGACCGCCCCTGGTTTAGGGATGGCCACTACAACGCCACGTATTAACTCTCTGCTGGTTTGTCACCTGGCCCCCAGTGTACTCCATCCCACCCTTCAGCACCCCACCAGCTTGGGGACAGTGGTGCACAAAACTGCAGCTTTGTCTTGAAGAGCAATTTAGTACCCAAAGTTTGCTGGAGTGTGCACAAGGAATAAAGGTGTAAAAAAACCTAAGAAAACAGCAAATATTTGTCCCCTGACGGAAAATACCCCTTATGATTTGCATTGCTGGAACATCAGACTCTCCAGTTGAGTGTATATAGCACCATCTGGGAAAACGGATAGCCTTGGTAACAAAAGAAAACTAGACTAAGCAACATCAGGAAAGAGCTACTTTTCTTCCTACCCAAAATTTGAACAGGGTATTTGAATATTCAATAGTAAAAATCGATAATGTCAGTGCTTCCCCCTAATACCACCACATCAGCACTGGGCAATAAGTTGGATGTAACTCAAAAGGGTGCATGAGCGTCTTTGTTTAAGTGGAAGTTTATAGAAATCCATTTAGTACAGTTTTTCCTTTCTGAAAGCTCTACTTCTAATCACATCAGAGATGGCAAACTGATGGAGAGTGGCACTTGCCATGCGCAAGTTCACATCTATCCAGCTCCCCTGCTCATCTTGGAAATTACACTTTTAAAACACCACAGAACTGATACTGAAACACGACGATAATAGATGGCAACAAGAACGTCATCTGCCAAGGCTCCGTCCTTGAAACACTGCAGAGGGTTCATTAAAAGCTGAACAGAAAGGAAAGGGTTACAACTCTCAAACTTACACTCCCAGCACGGCTTCTGAGAAAATTTTCAGAAGTGTCCCATATAAAAGGAAAAACTCCTATTTGCTCTTAACAAAACTTCAAATCTCGAACATAATGTATCATTACAAATCCGGTCCCTCTAGCTTACGACTGAATATCTAAAAACTGCCCTGGTGATTTTTTTCATTTGTTTTACTTGATCCCATACTGACTCTCCAACAAGGCTTTGGAGACTTCTACAGCACAACAAAGAAAAGCAACCCCAAAAGCACAAATAATGGAAAAACCCAAAGCCCAAACTACCAAGCACATTAGTGACCATTAAACATGCATTAAAATAAATGCATTTGCAGTTAAAAGAGTTTAGTTCACCTATATTCTGCTTTTCCAAAGTAAGATTTACCTGTTCTTTGAACAGTACTTTCTGATGTTGCAACTGAAGTTTTTTTCTGCGTTAAATGTTGAGAGGATGCTAGAATAAAAGTGGAGAGAAAAAGCATTATTTTCAAAGGGAGATAAAATTTTCTGTTGTGCAATCAGGCTGCTTTTCCAAAATGCTGTATCTGCCAGCTTACCGCATTTTTTCATTTACAGATGCAATTTTCTTAACGCACCCTCTACTTTCCTGCCACCACACACACCTCCCCAGTTTAAAAAAAAAAAAACCTCCAGCAAAACTATCCCAAGCAAGTTTTCTCAAATGAGAATAAGTAATGACATCAAGTATTATAAACCACATTTTTAAAGGTAATATTTTTCACCAGAGTGGGAAATTAAAGAGAGTCCTAGAAGAGTTCAGTCTCTCTCAGTTTAATGCTCATTTCAACAGAAGTTCTGGGGAAAAATAGCATCTTTGTTAATGAATCAATGCCCTCACTCTTTCAATTAAATGGCAAGAGTGTAAAATACACTCCAGAGGCTCCCATGAAGTCTGTTGGTAATACGATGATGTGACTTAAGATTTCTTAGGTTGCCAAGTTAAAAAATAAGATGGAAAAACAATTCTTGTTTGGTGAATGCTTTCTAGTCTTTTATGATAATGAACTTACAAAGAACATGAAGACAAAAAATTAAAACATTCCTTTCAAATAAAGAAAATCTACTTCAATTTTTTCTCCTAGCAAAGCAGAATTCCTTCTGTGAAGCTCAAAGTAAACATTTCCATTTTCCAGTGCCATACAGCGACGACATTCATCTAACAGCCACAGGGAAAGTCACATTCAAGCTGAAGTTCTCAGTTCCACTGACTTCTGTGGATTGTATCTTCCATGATTTTATTTTCTGTGTCTAAATTCACGATGTAAAGCACAACGGATATTCAGACAGCTTATTTCAAGACTAACGGTTTATTTCCACACCATTTTCAATAGAATAAAAATGGCACCAAGAAATAGCAGCAATGTCACAAATAAAGTCTGTCAGATGCTCAAAATAAACCAGTAACAGAGAAAACAGTTCAGATGTGAAGGTATTTTATGTTTTTTAATTGGGTGCAATTCACCTGTAATCACTTTTTCAGGTATTTCTCTGAAATGAGCATTTTGATTTTTCCCTAGACAGGGAGGGGGGGGGAGGGAGGAGATGCTTTTTGTTTTTTTTTTTTTTTTTGGGGGTTTTTAAGCTTACCCTTTGTTAAACCCGCCTTGATGTTAATCCCTACAGTGTTACAGTTATTCAAAGAGGGAACTAGTATCATTAGGATCAGCCCAAAATATCATAACTAAGTAAAGCTAGAAAAATAAAAAGTCTCTGGCAAGGCTGAAGCAGAATAGCCGTATAAAAGGCACCTTAAGCATTACTTTAGTCATTCCTGATACATCCACTTTTTCTCCCCACTTCTAACAGTCACGTGAAGTCACTCCTCTGTTATTGCATTGCATGTTCCTGACAAATACCCCATTTAAGCAGGAAATGGAAACTGAAATAAAACATCTGAAACATGAATCTTAGTGAAATCCAAGCCTGTGTATCACTCAGACATTAGAAACAGAAAAGCAGCTCCCAGCCTTGGCTAAAGTCTCTAAATTTTATTATGTCCATGGAAGAAACCACCCAGGAGGTTTACAAAAGCAATCTCATTTCTTCCATTTAGGCAGGGTAGCGCTGGACTTACCTGCACTTTGTAGCTGCTCCTGCTGTGCCCCTGCTTCTTCCTCCGCCACAGCAGCCCCCGCTGGCTCAGCCCGTAGCCACACCC